TTGGCTAGTGCTGTGTAGCTTTCACGCATAGCACATCTTGAGTAGACACACGCACATACACACAGGCACACACCCACCCACTCAAACATACACACATATATGCACACTTACATACTGTAACACCCATATAAACAGCGAAGGAAACATGAAAGTATATATATATATATATATATATATATATATATATATATATATATATATATATATATTGTGTGTATGTTTGTGTGTATGTGTGTGTGTGTTTCTGCAGGAAGAATTCTTTAAAAGATATTTGGTTGAATAATACCAACAAATCTGTCTATCAATTTTTTTATTAAGTTTTTCAATTTTCTAATTAGTTGCTTTATATAATCCGTAAATTTAAGAAAATTTACACTCACCCCCCACACACACCACACACACACACACACACACACACACACACACACACACACACACATATATATATATATATATATATATAAAAACTGTGTAAACAAACTCGTTAGTAACGAGAAGAATTTAGAAACGCTATTGTATATTCATTTGGTCAACTGAAAAATTTACGTCTGTTCAATTATGTTTGAAGAAAATATTTTCACAGGGAGAAATATTGTTTGTATTGTTGTGTTGAAGAATTCTTTTAATTTCTTGATATATTTGTTGAGTATATTGGCTTGGTAGACTAGTGATTCTGTTAGGAAAGGTGAGATTGTGTAAAAAAAAAGCTAAGCGTAGATTATTATTTAAATAATATTCAATGGCGGCACTTTCGAGGATTTTCCTTCTGATTAAATTATATATATATATATATATATATATATATATATATATATAATATATAAAAAAATAGATTATGCCCGACAATTATTTAATATATTTTCTGTTTATACGTTATTTTTATACATACAGTTTATTTACGTAAATACTCAGTTTTTAATTATACATTATTAATTACATTTAAACTTCATAGAAAATATGCATTCTCCGACAGGAATCGAAAATTTATGCCTATACGGAAACCTTCATTTGATCTGACGTGCTATACTATTTAGCTACAAAGAAGCGTCTGGTTAACAGAATTCAGATTAATGTTTAATTAACTGAATTATATGTATAAAATAACACATAAAAATAAAATATATTAAATAATTGTCTGATAAAAATAAAATATATTAAATAATTGTCTGAAGGATTCTGTTGAATATTTAAATAAATATATATATATATATATATATATATCATAATAATAATTCGCTCATATAGATAGTCATCCATATAATCCTCATATCTTTGAATGCCCCATTGAATAATACTTAAATAAATTGTAAGTATAAAAATAACATATAATCAGAATATCTTTGCTTATATAGATAGTCATCCATATAATCAGAATATCTTTGCTTATATAGATAGTCATCCATATAATCAGAATATCTTTGCTTATATAGATAGTCATCCATATAATCAGAATATCTTTGCTTATATAGATAGTCATCCATATAATCAGAATATCTTTGCTTATATAGATAGTCATCCATAGAGAGATTGTTTCGCTGTATCACAGCTCCTCAGCGTGCCTAGACATCCAATGGCTTCAAGCCGGGATTGAAACCACATTCATTTGACATCAGTCAGATCTCTTACCTCTAGACTATTGTCGCACGAATTTTAACGTTTTTCTCTATACGAAGAACTCAATTCAATTTTACTTAGGGTACGATGGATAAATTGTCTTCTAAAATATGAAAAATTTAAAATAACACTGACATCTCATTTTGACAGATATATTTACCAAAATTAAGCAAAAATTTCGTGAAAGAGTATATTTAATAAATAAAATCGACACTGATTACAATCACGGCTTTCAGACAACTTGGGAATCTCCAGCAGCTCTTCTGTGCTTTTGAACTTTTGTTTAAGTTGCTGATGCTGCTATAATACTTGCCTTCAGTTCATCTTTGGTGTTTTGTTTGCCTCAACAGGAAACCAACGCATAATAATCAAGGGGATTTCTATCTGGGAAGTTAAGTGGCCAGATGTAAGAAGTGATATGATCGCAGAAATTGTTTGACAGTCATGACTGGGTACTCCGTTTTGTGGAGTCTGGTGTAAAGTTCTGTTGTCTTCCACCAGCCACTCTCTTATCACAGGGCAGAACTACCTCCTCAATATGGCTCCCTGTTGAGTCTGAGGCCCCCACTAACAAATTCGAGAGTTCTTTTCTTATCAGAACGATGAGGGAGATTTCCAAACTGCCGTGCATTCGTAATCAGCATTAAACTCATTCAATTTTTTCTGATTATCTCCACTCTCCTCAGATTGACGCCCAAACATTCTGAAATTTTTGTATTGGAGCTTCCGGCTCGAATGTCAAGCAGTACAGCAGCGACATGGTGTCCATTTTCTCACAGACACCATATATATATATATATATATATATATATATATATATATATATATATATATATATATATATACCGTTTGAATGTGTCATATCTGCTAACTCACTCATGTCTTCTCTCTCCCACTCACTTCCTCACTTCGTTAATTTACATATGTTTAATACGGCCCGTCAAAAATGTGTAAATTTTCTTTTCATTTGTTTGGATGTAAAGTCTGATGATCCGCAGTCCTTTAAAAGGGCTGTGGTGAAATAAATTTGCTCTGGATTTACATTGAGCTCTATGGATTTTATCCTCTTTAGGTTTACCTATACGGATTACCTAGTTTTTCATAAACTATATATATATATATATATATATATATATATATATATATATATATATATATGATTAATGTGAAAAATTTGTCACTTAGATGACTGATGTTACCTTCAGCATCTCGACTCCAGAGTTTCGTAGAAGGATCTCTTCGTCCGCTCTACAGTGGGCATCAGCAAATTGTATTTAAAATAGGTTACAGAATCCAGACAAAGTATTTAAGAAATTTGACGTGGAAAACGTTTAATTGAAACTAGATTTGATTATGCGTTTCGCCTTTCTAGGCTTCATCAGATCCAAAAACGAGAGAAGGAAATGTTTGTCTGTGCATTTGGGTGTATACTTAAATAATGAATCATAACAAAGGGAACGTGGGAAAAAGATATTAACGACTTTCGACAGATACAGAGAATTATAAGGAAAAGATACCGAATAAATATGAACAGTTTTTTTTTTAAAAGTCTCTCAATCACGAGAAACGCCAACCAAAGAAAAAATTACTGATTCATTATTCAACCATACACACAAAATACACACACACGAACACACACACACAGAGAGAGAGAGAGAGAGAGAGAGAGAAAGAGAGAGAGAGAAACAAACACATACTCATTTCTTTTTTTCGTTTCTTTTTATATGATGAACCCTAGAAAGGCGAAACGCGTAATCAAATCTAGTTTCATGATTTGTCAAATATATATATATATATATATATATATATATATATATATAATATAAATCGAAATCTATTAACGCATCATCTCTGATATTGTGGAATCTATCCCGGCAAATATAGTAAATTTTGCAAAATAAAATTACCTATTTATGCACAACGTCTATACACACACACACACACACACACACACACGCATACATATGTATGCGTGTGTGCATGTGTTAATGCCTTATTTAATCTGTTAGCGAAGTGATTTCGCCATTAATTATAATAACTTTACTGATTTATTCTTTGCATCACTACTTCATTACAACACACACAAATATATATATATATATATATATATATATATATATATATATATATATATATATATGTATACTTGTAAAAGTTAAGCAGAGAATTAAGAGACAGAAAATCATCGTTAGAAACCTAGAAAAGAGTACTGAAAAGTTAATGATATATCTCCTCCTATATGGCAGTGAACATTGGACAATCTTCTCAAAGATGAAGGAGAGACTTGAAGCAACAGAAATGTAGTTCTACAGAAAGTTGCCGAGGATGCCATAGACTGAACATATGAACAACGACGTGGCTGTAAGTAAATGGAAGCAGAAAAGAAACTTATTCTTAACATCAAGAAGAAGCAGTTGAAATCTCTGAGACATATAATGAGAATGAAGGGCTTGGAAAATCTGATCCTCACACAACAGTTTGAGAGAAAGAGAGAAAGAGGAAAACAGCGTGTAACATATGTGATTGGCTTGAGTAAATGGATCGTAGAACAGTGTTTTTGAGAAATAGCAATAAGACAAAAATATTACGAGCGACAAGGTACAGGAATGTGTTCATATTTTTTATTTATATTGATTTGATTACAACTGATCGAAACACCGAAGTATTTTAAATGTTTAAATTTTTCAGTTATAATTAACGTCATTGATCGCTATTGATGTACGATATTTAAGTTGATCTCATCGATGCTTTTATTTTTTGTATAGTGTTTCTCGGTCTTTTTAAAGGGAATTATTCAATTTAGTCTAGAAATAATATAGTAAGGATCTTTTTAAGGGGAATTAGTCAATTTTTACTAGAAATAATACAACAAGGATCTTTTTAATGGGAATTATTAAATTTTGTCTTGAAAAGATACAGTAAGGATCTTTTTAAGGGGAATTATTGAATTTTGTCTTGAAATAATACAATAAGGATCTTTTTAAGGGTAATTATTCAGTTTTTTTAGAAATAATACAGTAAGGATCTTTTTAAGCGAAATTATTCAACCTTTCTAGAAATAATATAGTAACTATGTTTTTAATGGTAATTATTCAATTTTGTCTTGAAATAATATATTAAGGATTCGATGGAAAATTTGTCACAATATACTGGAATGTTACGGGAGCTTAGATATAGTTCAGATATGAAAAACATACGTTGTATCTAAATATAAATTCTGTGATTTCAATGAGTTCATCGATTCGTCACACCCTCTAAAATAGCCATACACTGACCGATCTAAGCCGAATTTTAGGGAGAATTGCAAACAGGTAAGGAGGTAAAAGTTCAGTTGGTTTTACTAGGGTGCATATTTTAATGCAACAAATTTTCATTATTTTTTGCGA